GTGGCTGTTTCTTCGCCTTTTCAGTGTGTCACATCAGCAAATGCAGATCTTTGAAGCTTTTCTCATCCACATTGATGAAGTGACGACTTTAGGAGGCAGCTCTTCCCTCGTTAGTTTTGAGTGCCTTCCCACCTGAGGACGAGTATATCAGGCAGTACTGTCCTCTCACTCGTAAGGTTTTCACTCGCCATGTTATTTTGGAGTTGATTTTTACGTCCTCGTTCCTTGTCTGTCTTAGTCTGCTAAGCAGGATAGATTAACACTGCAGATCCCCACAGATCCCACCACCCAAGCTCCTCATCTTAGTTTCGAGTTTCTTTGAAACCTGTTTACCTGGTGTTAGAAGTACTGTTGGCATCACAGCAACATGCAAGGCACCACAGATTGAGAAACCATTAGAATTTACTTGTACATTGACAGAATTATTGCATATTTCATACTGCTTCTAATGAAAGTATTTTGGGAGTTTTGCCTACAGAATTGGAGATAGTAAAAATAAAATTATAGACCTGTTATAGAGTAAGAGAGAACTATGGCTCATGAATGCCGAGCTCTGCTTGCTTGTTGGCAGCACCTTAGATGTACAGGGAGAGATGAGGAAAGGCACGGGAGGTGCTTTGGGTGGGGCCACTACTCTCAGTGGCTGTCGGGGCCTGTTCATTGTGTGGAATGACCAAGGAAAGTCTTAGCACCACATAATGTTAGCTAATGGTTTTCAGTAATTTTAATTTTTTTTATTTTTAATTATTTCAAACATCTAGAAAGGAATAGAGTAACATTATCAATGCCTGAGTATCTATTAGCTGAATTTAACAAATATGTCTGAGTTTCTTTTTGCTGTCTCCTGATCTCTTCTTTTTCCTTTCCTTCATTCTTTCCACCCAACCTTTTTTATTTAAAGAATGCACATTTTCAGATACATGAAAAGACCTTTTGTACCTTTCCTACTTGTTACCTTTGGTCCATTCTGACGTGTGGTGAGCCCATGTTAGCAAAGTAGAATTGTTCTGTGGGCTTCTTGGGAAATGCAAATGTTAAGCCCTTGACTGCTAAGAAAAACTTTGGTGTTTCAAACCTATTCAGAGTTAATTTTTGACAGCTTTTAGGAATTCGGGCCTCCTGCCCAATTTCTAAAAGGATAAGGAGTCAGAGAGACCACAAAAAGAAACTCAAACATAATAGTTCATTTCAGTTGAAGTTAATAGATACTAAGGCATTGATAATGTTATGTCCCTCCTTTCCCAGTAGCATTTACATTTAAGAAGTGCATGTGTCCCCTTTCTTAAAGTACATGTGTCCCCTTTCTGTCCATGTTTTCACATAGTTGGACTGTTTTTCAACGAGTTCAGCACGAATAGGTTTGAAGATCTAGAATAAGGGATATCATTGCTGATATCACATCAATCTTGACTGAAAGCAAAGAACACCAATAAGCTGCTTGTGCTTTACGGACTGTGAAGAGGCATTTGATAGTTTGTATCATAATAAATTATGACTAAAATTGAGAAGAATGGGAATCACAACTTAATTGTGTTTATATGTAACAGTTTTAGCTCCAGGACAGTTTCGTTTTAGTTAGTGGTGAGCAAAAGGGCCAGTGGTGGACCGTTTGCTTGCTCGGATGAGGAGTTTCAGGGAGGCTTCATTATTGTTTTCTGTAGTACGGATGTGGACACCCATCCCTTTGTGATCCCCACAGCGGCATGGTTGACTTGTGAAGTGAGGGTTCTTGCCTTTTAGAGTTCAAGGCATGAACTCTTTGAGGATCATTTCTTTACTCTCCCCTTCAATGATGAATATTATGAAATTAATAGGCATTTTTTTCTAATATCCATATGCACTTTATCACAGATCTGGAAGGACAGCGGGTGGGCCTCAAAGACTGCCTCCCCCATCTGGGATAATAGGCATTTTGAAAGACTCACATTCTCTTAGAGTAGAGCTTTCCTTAAGTAAAAGTGATTTTTATTTCAATGTTTTTGTTTAGACCTTTATTTTTTTCCAGTGTATTTTTCTGTCTTTTGAATTCTCTGTAGGTTGTACTTTTTTAATATAGAAACTTCAGTTTTTGTTGCTATGCTCCTCTTGATCACATTAAGCTTTTTTTGTGCCATAAAAAAGCTCTGGTGGCAAGGCTCCACCTCTGTGGAACTATTTTTTTTTTAAAATAGGAAAATAGTTTTATAGAATAGTAAGTTTTATTTAAGCCTTATTTCAAGAGTTTGTCTTGTAAACCTATAATAATTTGTCTCGAAATTAATGTGCTAATTGTTGTTGTTATGGACTGTTGAGTAAGAACCAACTCATAGCTGACCCTTCAGCAGGGTTTCAGAGACAGTAAATAATGTGGAGCTTATTCCCCATCTTTCTGTCACAGAGCAGCTGGTGAATTCGAACTGTGTACCTTTGTGTTGACATTGAAAGAGAGGTTTGCAGTCTTCTGCAACCTTCACCATCACAGAAATCACTTCTCTTGGACTTTGATTTGCCTTGTGGTCATCTGGTTTCTTTATTAATGCTGGTAATCAAAACTTCTGAGGTAGATTTTGTTTGGCTTTTTGAGTGCTGACAGAGATCCTAGTTCCCGCTGGGAAATGCATTCCATTTGGAACTCCTGGCCTTTTATTCATTTGAAACCTGCCTTTGGCCTTTTCCATGGGCTGATAGGACCATACAGAACTTGAACATACACACATCACAAAGTAATTTTAAAGAAGTACTTCTCGTTGTTAGGTAAATGACTCGGAGTAAGGCTCCTGTGTGACTAGAGTTTCCTGGCAGTGTTTTGAACCTAGGCAACTTGGTTTAGAGAAAAAAATATTCTTACTTACTAGTAGTTTCTTTACTCCTTGAGGTTAACTGGAAGTTAAGATAAAAACTTTTTTTCTGTCTCCTTTTTTACATGTATTTGAATTAGGAAGCTCTGATGACATAGTCTATAGAGAGTTGCACTGTTAATCCAAAGGCGGGGCGGGGCCTCTAGTGGTTCAAATCCACCAGCTACACCAGAAAAGCTGGAGGAGGTTGTGTTTGGTTTTTTTGTTGCTTTTTTTTTTTTAAAAAAAAAGGTGAGACTTTGAAGAACCTAAAGTGTCCAGGATCATACCCAGAAATACATGACTCTCGGATGTTACCTGGGTTTAGCTGAGGAACTTTTTGGGCTTTTAAAGTCCAATCTTTCTGCAGTCTTTGCTCATCAAACAGGCGTAATACTGTTGTTTAAAGTCATTCCTTACTGAATGGTCCAAGTTTTGAAATGAAGCACTGAAAATGTTCCTGGTTGCCAACTCCGTTGTTGCATGAGAGTGGGAGGACTGGAAAGCTGCAGTCACTTGCCAGAGGGAACACATCTGCTTAGTGACAGAGCTTGAGTCAAGAAGGCAAGCGTGTTTGTTTTACTGTAGCCTAAGGGAGTCAGAGCTCCTGATTGTCCAGACACAGTTTAAATGTCCATGTAGCAAAGATAGAGGTTTAGGCGTCTCTTTGCCCTTCTTCAGGTCCGTGTCTGGTGTCCTGTTTCTGCCTCCCTGTAACTTCCGGTACCTGCTTTGTTCCCTCCATGAGTTAGTCTCCCCTGAAAAGCAGTCTGGCCCTCCATGCACCTACAGTGCTTGGCACTTTTTTCCTGATCTCCTAGACTCTCATGGTTGTGCTGGGCAGTGAACATACTGTAAAGCTTTGTGCCTCATGCGAATGGAGCCAACAGCTACTTCTCTCTGCGTTCTTTTCCACAGTCACTTTCCTCTCCGTAAGGTAGCTCTGTAGTTTCCCCAACTTTGTAAGGAACATGACTTTTTATTTCCTTTTGCTCCACTATATTGACTGCATTCACCTTATTAACCAGCCTGATTTGATCTTTCTCCTTATCTTGGGGTTTGTTTGGCTTTTTAAATTTTTTAATTTTATTATTGTGTGTGTGTGTGTGTGTGTACCATCAAATTGGATCTGACTGGTACAGGAGGAGATTGCCCCTCCTTCTCCAGCAGAGCATCTGGTGGATTCGAACCATGTACCTTTGGGATTGCAGTGCAGCTTCCTGCCACTAGGCCACCAGAGCTCCACTTTTCTTCTTGTTTAGTAATTTCCCCTAGTCCTTCAGAATGTAAGCTTTGAGGACATCGTTATTTCTTTTTGCTCCAGGCCCTAACTTGTATATAAGTGTGCATCTGTGTGAGTGCCCTTTCTGCACTCTTCCTTCTTGGGCCTTCATCTGGTTCCTCTACAAGGGTAATATTTTATGAGCAGTTCTGCCAGCATCTAGTCTTGTCTCTTTGCCCCTCTGTTCTTGGCACGTTACCAGCTTAATTTTCTTAAAAGGATGCCTTTTAAAAATCTTTGGGAAGCATTTCAGCACTTCCCTGTTGCCACAGGGGAAAGGCTGAACTTGTTGGTCCATCTTTCAAGGCCTCCTTACCTTGCTCTCGGATGCTTCTCTACTCCATAGGGACCACAGATGTGCAGGTCACTTGTGCTTCCTCTGAGCTCCCACTTAGCTCCTTCCCTAAGCCCTTGTATGCTAGCCTTCTTTTCAAGACTGCTACTGCTAAAAAAATAAAAAACAAACAAACAACAAAAAAAAGAACAATACTGCATAGTGCCACTGTTGTAATGTTGGATTGACTTCAGAGTTGGGGCAAACTAAGAGAGGCTAAATAATGTATACTGCATATATGTGGGTGTGGGTGTGTGTGTATAAATATATATATATATATATATATAATATACATTTAAAAAAAAAAGACTGCTACTGCTCTCTGGCTGACTTGTTCATTGGGCACTTAATTCACTGCACAAATATTATGAAAGACACACTGTTTTGCTCTCTCTGAAGAAGAGATTATAGAGTATAATATCAGTCCCTAAGGAAACTAGCTTATGAGTTGTTGGCATTAAGAGTAAGGTATCAGCGTATAAATATAAAAGCCATCAGGTTTTAAGATGATGATTTCTCACTACATTGGTTCTGCCTTTAATAATAATTTTTCCTCCTTTTGCTCTAGCCTGCATGAAGAAATCAGTGATTTTTATGAGTACATGTCTCCGAGACCAGAGGAGGAAAAGATGCGGATGGAGGTGGTTAACAGAATCGAGAGTGTGATCAAGGAGCTCTGGCCCAGCGCCGACGTGAGTACCTGCCTGGAATTTGAGCGCTAAGCCACACACTTGTCCACAGGCTGGGAGAGGATTGTTGATATATTGTTCAGAGTCCTCACGGCCACCTGGGTGTGAATTTAGAAACTTACAGTTTAAGTTTGAACAGTTTCTTGTACCTTCTTAATTATTTTAATGGACAGTGCTAAATAGCAACTAGTGAAAATGAACTATATTTAGGAATCATTAGTATGAAGAGAAAGGACCTCGGTTAGTGGAGTATAGAGCGAGTTGTGCTCCTAACCCAAAGGCCCAACCATTTCAGTGGTTCAAAAGGTGCATCTCAAATGCTACTTCAAATCCACCAGCAGCACCTGGGGAAAAGGGTGGACATTGTCTTCCTGTTTTGATTTGCAGTCTCAGAAACTGATGAAGGATCTTTATGAGCTAGAAATGACCAAATAGCAGTGAGTTTGAGTTGGTTTTTTAGTTGGTTTGTGAGTTTTGTGAGTATAATGAGAAGAAAGAGAAATCAGCCTATATTAGTAGTAGTCTGATAATGGGGTGTGATATGTCAGAATGTTATTACAGTTTTGTTGCAAGCTATCAGCATCAGCAAATATTAAATACTTAATAGTTAAATGCCCAGTGAAAATGTCTTTTGTCTGTGCCATTCCTGTCTTTAGCTGAATGCAGGTGTCCTTTCTACCCCTCATGAACATGTGACTTCTCTCTTTGTATCCTTTTCTCCCACCCAGTAAACAAATACTAACCCAAGGTTGAGAACTCTGCTTGAAGTTTTATTTGCAGAGGAAAAAGATGCTCTGAAAAAGCAGGGCTCTTCTAAAGAATAAAAATTAAGTAGGAGGCATAGCACTCCCTGACCTCAAAACCTGCTACATAGCTTTAATTGGTACACGACAGACACATAGACGAAAGGAACAGAATTGAGAACTGAGGAATCAACCTATCTACCTTCGATCAATTGGTATTTCACAAAGAAACAAAACCTGTCAAATGGGGAAATAATAACCCCCTCAGCAAATTTTGCTGGCAAAACTGGACATCCACAGAAAACTACAGAAAAAAAAATTTGCAGAAAACTGAAACTGGATCCACATCTCACACTGTAAATTTAAAAAAAAATGAGCTCAAGGTGGATCAGAGACCTTAAAACCCATAAGGATCATAAGAGATAAAATGGGGCCAAACTCAGAAGTCCTACCCTGTGCCATAAATAGTTTCACAAATAGAGCCAGAAATACACAACCAGGAGAAGATGAAATTAATGAATGAAACCATCTAAAAATTAAGTCCCTGTGTGCATCAAAATTTCTGCATAAGTCCATTATTGCAAAATATTAGTATTACTAGTAAGATGAGTATTAAAAAAAAAAAAAAGTTCCAAAGTGGAAGAAATGGGCCAAGGGGGTGGAAAATAGGCTACGAGGGGAAATCACTACATTAGCCAGGTTCAGTGGGCGAATGGGCAGGGGAGGGGTGAGCGAGGGGTAGAGTGAAGGATTGGGAGAGGGAAGAGGGAGTGGTAAAGGAATGGGAAAGAGCCAATTTGGATCTGAAAAGCCTGGGTAATGGTAGCCACAGATCAATGGTGATTAATTTTATGAAACTCAGTGTATATAAATGATTGCATGAAACACAAATGTTAATAAAAGAATGTGTGAAACTAAAATAAAAAGAATACTTGAGAAAAAAAGTTTTTGAAAACCCTAACTTTTCCAATAGAGTGAAAAGAACGTATACAATGAATGTAAACCTTTAAAAAAAAGAAAGTGTGCAGACTGGGAAAAAACATTCAGCAATGACATTTCAGACAAAGATATGAAAATGAAAGTTTATGGAATATTGTAGGGTCTCCACAAGAAAAAGACTGATAACCCAATAACTAAAAAGGCAAAAGATATGAAAAGACTCTTCACAAAGGAAGACATTTAGATGACCATCAGACATGTGATGAAATATTCAAAATCACTCATAGACAGAGAGATGCAACACTGAAATACTATCGCACCCCAGCAGCAGTAGCAAAGTTTTAACAATACAGCAAACAATAAATGTTGGAGAGGATGTGAAGTGATTGGAATTCTCATACACTGTTGGCAGGATTGTAAAACGGTACAGCCACTCTGGAACACAGTGAATAGGGTTGACAGAAGATGCCTTTGAGCTGAAGTATTTGAGATGAACACTGAACATCCTATGCATGGCCAAAAGAATAAACAAATACATCTTGGAGAGAGTGCAGCCAGAGTGTTTTTTGGAGGCAAGGATGAGGAGGATTCACTTTACATACTTTGGACATGTTGCTAGGAGGGGCTGTTCCTTGGAGACAGACATGATGCTTGGAAGGGTAGAGGGTTGGCAAAGGAGAGGAAGACCCAAACCAGGTGAATTGACATGGGACTACTGCAGCAGTGGGCTCTAATGTGTTAAGAAGTGTAAAGATGGCACAGCATAGGACTGGGTTCAGATCTGCTGTTGGTAGGGTCGCTATGAGTCGTACTCAACGATGCCTAACAACAGCTCTGGAAAACAGTTTGTTATTTCCTGAAAAAGCTGAACATAGAAATACCATATGACACAGATATTCCACTACTAGAAATAAACCCGAAAGAAGTCAGAGCTGAGACATGAGTGAAGATATATACACCTATGTCCATAGCAGCGTTATTCACAATATCAAGAAAATGGAAACAACTCAAATGCCCATCAGCAAATGAATGGATTGAGAAATTTTAGTACATTCACACAGTGGAATACTATGCAGCGTTGAGGAGCAACGGTTTGGACAAAAATGCTGAGTGAAAGAACTCAGTCTCATAAGGACAAATACTATATAAGACCATTATTGTTAAAATAGAAGGACAACTGAGTGAGATAGGTATAAATTTTCAAAATGGGAAGGGGAAAGGAAGAAGGGAAACCACTAAGATAGCAGGGGCTCATGGGCAGAGAGAGGAGTGTAGAAATAGGGAAGATTCAGTGGGACTTGACAAGAGGTCTAATGATAGACACAGATCAACAACAAACATACAATGAATTTATATCATTAATTACTATTGATCTATGTCTGTGTTAGACCATCTTGTCAAGTCCCCATTGAATGTTTCCTATTCCTTCATTAAAATGTATGTGAATGAAATATAATGTATATAAATGATTATATACAAAATAATAAAAATAGAGTGTGTGGGTTTTTGTCGGTTTTTTGTTTGTTTGTTTAAAACCCTCTGCTTATTTGTGTGGTTCTTGTTTTGGTGGAGGTAATATTTCCCTTTTCAGTGCTCCTTTGAGGGTATATTTTAAAATTTAGTGCATCCAAAGAAGTATGTATTAAAATCTATTATTTTGTGTTATGTACTGTTTCTCTAGACTCTGTCAAAAACGAAAGAGAAGCCAGGAAGGGTTTTGTGCAATTGTTAAAACAAAGATGTTTAAGATAAGATACTGTATGCAAAGAAAAGAGGGGTGGACACCAGTGATTTGCTTGCCTCATTGCTTGAAAGTAAAGTGGCTCTCAGCTGACAGTTGAGTTGACCCCAGATGAACTTTTTGCCCTGGTGGTACAGTGGTTAAGTGCTTGGTTGCTAACCTTTACAGTTCACAGATGCACATCAGCCACTCTGGAGGAATTGGGCTGTTGATCTATTTATATATTTACAGCCTTCAGACCCTGTGGAGTGTTCTGCCTTGTACTTCCGGTTGCTGTAAGTTAGAATAGCCTTCATAACAAATGGGTCTGGATTCTTGTTTGTTTTAGAGATATTTTTGGTTGTCACCACTGTAGAAGTGCTTCTCGCATTGAGTGAATAAAGGCCAGAGATCCTGTAAATGTGCAAAGGGCAAACCCCTATCTAAGAACTAAGAATGGTCCAAATGTCAGGAGTGCTGAAATTGATAAACTTGAATCTGAATAATTTGCATAATCCTGATGTTGTTGTTGTTAAGTGCTGTCACGTTGCTTACAACTCATAGTGACCCTATGTACAACAGCCCTGAAACCTGTTTTGTCTTGAGCCGATATCATTGTCTCTGATGTACCTACTATTATTACCCCAGTCACTGAGTCAATCCATCTCGTCCAGGATCTTCCTCTCTTGCACTGTCCCTCTACCCTTCCAAGCATGATGTCCTTCTCTAGTGATTGGTCCTTCCTGGCAAAATGCCTAAAGCATGTGTAACACAGCTTCAAAATCCTTTCCTCCAAGGAACAGCCTTGTTTCACACTCTTCACGACAGACCTGCGTGTGCTCTTAGAAAACGTGGTATGTTCAGTACCCTTCTCCAGTACTACACTTCAAAGACATTGATTCTTCTTCTATCATCCTTAGTCATTCATTGCCCAGCTCTCTGATGCAAAAACCTTGGCCTGGATCAGTTGCACCTTAATTTCTAGACTGACAGTGTTGCCCTTCAGTACTCTGGAGTAGTCCCTGACGGCAGATTTTCCCAGTGCAATTTATCTTTTGATTTCTTGACTGCTGGTACCAAGAGTGTTGATTGTGGAGCCAAGCAAACTAAAGCTGTTAACAATCTCAGTCTCTTCACCATCTATCATGATGCTGCTGATTGGCCCAGTGGTGAGAACCTTTGTTTCTTGGTGTTGAGCTTCAGTCCATACTGAAGGCTGCAACAAATGCCTCAGGTTCTCTTTAATTTCAGCAAGCAGGGTTGTGTAATCGGCATAGTGCAGGTTGATGATGAGTCTACCTCCAATCCTGATTCCACATTCCTCCTTAGAAAGTTCAGCCTCCCAGAAGATCTGTTCCGCATGTAGATTGAAAAAGTACAGAGATAGGATGCATCCCTGGCGTACACCTTTCCTGATCTTGAACCATGTAGTGTTTCCTAGCTCTATTCTGACGACTGCCTCCAGGTCCAAGTATAGGTTTTGTATAAGCACCATCAAGTGTTCTGGGATTCCCATTCTTCTCAGAGTCAGCCACAGTTTGTTATGATCCACACAGTCAAATGACTTTATATACTTAATGAAACACAGACATTCCTCTGGTACTCTCTGCTTTCAGCTAAGATCTGTCTAACATATGGAACATTTTATCCTTAATATTTTAATAGATGAGGAGGATAAGGCTATGTGGTCCACTTTACCTAAAAGGAGAGTTTCTGCAGGTTTTTAGGGCTTTTTTCTGCTTCACCTTAGAGGTTGAGCTTTTTCTGTTACTTACCTGTCATTAGGGGGATCTGGTGTCATATTCCATAACCAGTTGGGCTGTTAACCCAAAGGCTGCACCTCTCTGGTGGCAGTTTAGATCTCCCCACAGCTCTGATGGAGAAAGGCGAACAGTCTCCTCCAGGCTATGTGCAGCCTCCAGCATACAGTGAATGATCTGCTGTGAGTCAGATCCGACTGAACAGCAGTGCATGCGTGTCCATTATTGCAGAATTCCTAGTTCTAGTCTGTGTGTTTATTTGAACCTGAACCTACCTCAGTGTTGACCATTCTCCATGGACTGAGATTGGACGTGTGCAGATTTTATGATACAGCACAATGGTACTTGTACTTAGAGCCCCTCTGTGAACTCAGCTTACAAGCCAGTGCTTATTTGTAATTGGAGCCATCACACCTTTCAAGCCAATTACAGATCAAACAAACTTTGTAACTGGAGCCATCAAACCTTAAGCCATTCAAAGGTTGAGACTATGTGATTATAATTTGTCATGAACAGTTTTATGAGGGAGTGTTTTACATGACAGAGATGTGACAAAATCTGTTCTAAAGGAGTGTATCTAGATCTTAAAAGATAATTAGTAAGTTGAATATGACTTTTCAGAGTTTCTTTTGTAGTCTGCTTTGAATTTGAACCTGAAAGTTTAAACTTTATCTACCTGTGAGACAGAGAATGCCCACTGTAAAAGAAAAGCAGGGTCATAAAAAAATGCCTTTGTAGTACTGAAAAGTACCACTAGACGGTAGCAAAACACCATATTTCTTCCTCGTTTTCGTACCTTTCATCTGGTGCTTTAATATCATGACTTCTTTTTCTTTTTCAGGTACAGATATTTGGAAGTTTTAAAACTGGCCTGTATTTACCAACTAGGTTAGTACACCTGTAAAACTTTGAAGAGATTGTACAATTTTCTAAAGTGTATTTATTTTAACTGTTGAAACAAGTAGAAAAGAAACAACTAGGTTTATGAAACAAAATTTTGTTAACAGTTTTTTGTGTTTTTTTTTTTTTAATTTCTTTGAGGCCAACTTTAGCTTCAGATCTTCTTTTCAAGGTGTGGATTATACCGGTGAATAGGAAAAGATTGTGTGTAGCAGTAGAGCCTGACAGTCACTAATTTTAGTTGGCACCTTGCAGAGAATCTCTCTACTCCATGACGTGCCCCACTGGCACCATGTGGATGTAGTGCCTGAGTCAGAGACCTGCCTGGACTGGAGCGCTAGGTTAACTCTGAACTGTGATGTCTCACTTTTCTAATTAAGAACTCACACTTCAAGAAATGATCATGTCATCCTGACCTCGACATTCAGGATGCAGAAGTCTCCTCTGAGGTTGGTCTTGGTCTTTGAAGTAGAAGCGCTCTGGTGGCGTAGTGGTTAAGTGCTTGGCTGCCAATCAGAAGACCAACAGTTTGAAGCCACCCTTGTTGAAAGATGTGAAAGTCTTAAAGATGTAAAGATAAAGATGTACAGCCTTGAAAAGTGGGACAGTTCTCTACACGTAGGCGTTCTGGGAGTCAGGATTGACTCAAAGCAATGGGCTTTTGGCTTGTAATCATATTTTGAGCCCTCAACTGAGTGCTGTCTTGATTCGTACTCTGGGAAGATCCCCTTGTATGAATGATGATTTTTTCTGGAGGCATGAAATCTTGGTGTTTTTTCTTTGTTTTTACTTTATAAAGCATGTATTTTACACTTTTAAAATAATATATACATATGAGGAGATTTTTAAAAAAAAAAAAACAAACCCTTGGTCTTTAAGAAGGAAAAAAAACATTCCATCATGTGATTTGATTTCCTTCCTTCACTCTTGATTTAATAACTTTTTTAATTTTTTTTTCATTTTTATTGTATTCTTTTTTGTGTGTACCATCAAATCAGATCTGACTGGTACAGGAGGAGATTGCCCCCCTCTTTCTCCAGCACAGCATCTGCTGGATTTGAACTGCGTGCCTCTGGGATTGCAGTGCAGCGTCTTGCCACTAGGCCACCAGAGCTCCCTTTGATTTAATACATTTTTTAAAAAGTGATTTTAGGTGGCTAACTCCTAGTATTATTCATTCATCTCAGTGTTGTCTTTGGCTTCAAAGCCATAAACCATTTACCTTAAATTCTGTTAGGATTTTACTATAAATCTGAGCTTCAGCAAAACCCTGGGTCCCTCTTTCTAAAAAATTGTGACTGTATTTTATCAATAAGTAGTACATTCACATAGTTCGAAGTTGATGAAGCAAAAAAGAATTGCAGTGGAAAGTTTCCATCCC